TATTGACTTTCTCAGGTAATTGATTGAATACTGTTCTGAAAGTGAAAAAGAGTGATTGTCTGGGTACAGAACGGTTTTAAGTTTACGGGTTGTTTACCCTCGTGATCATGGGGCCGACAGGGAGCTGAGGCTCACTCTGGCTACCCAGCATCACAAGAGAGTATCCTACCATATTGCTAGAATGGAAAAAGATCAAAATTCAATTTTCAAAGTGCAGTTTCAACTGGATGCATATTGCTTTCGCACCTCCATCAAGCAGTGGCTGTAAGTTTTATAACAGCCTAAAAAAAAAAAAAAAGCACATTTTGTGATTTCTAAAAACCTTTAATCACTTTTAGTTTTTAAACACTTAATAACTATTGAAGACTTAAAAAATAGATTTTTGAGCTAGTCTAAACAGAGCATTTAAGTTGTTTTAGAGGAAAATAAACTTGGATTGACTGACAAATGCGAAGTGACAAAAATTCTACAGCCTAGGGGGATGTCGGGAAGGGTAGTATCACCTGGGAGGGATATGGAAGTACTTCTCAAGAAACCTACACCAAATGTCCCTAACTGAAATTAAATGCAAAATGACATACAAATACCACCCCCAAAGGTGTTAATAATCTCAAATAAAGTTTGATAAGTAGACTGGCCTATGCCAACAATCAAAAGACACACCAGCAAAGCTCGAAGTCACTGAGGAGGGATAGCGTGGTTCTGATGATCAAATTCAGGCACCAGCCTATAAGCACATCAGTTAAAACATCATGCATTTAACAAAGAAGCATCGAGAACATGCCTTGCACTCATTACTATGTGAAACACTGAGAACACAGCTCTGGAAGAGCAACAGTCTAATAGAAGCACTCTCTGTGGAAATTAACAGTAAACCAAGAGCTGCAACAAATATGCACACAATGCTGGGCAGGTGGGAGGGCTGGGGCAGAGAGCGTTAGAAGGAAGCAGCGGCACTCAATATGCCTGGCGGGGGAATCAGGAAAACCTCACAGAAGAGCATCTGAGTCAAGGACTAAAATTGGCATATCAAGGGACAAGTGATACATGGGAATGGACTAAAATCACCAGGCTAGGGTGCCCGGGTGGCTCAGTTGGTTAAGCGACTGCCTTCGGCTCAGTTCATGATCCTGGAGTCCCTAGATCAAGTCCCGCATCGGGCTCCCTGCTCGGCGTGGAGTCTGCTTCTCCCTCTGACCCTCCCCCCTATCGTGTGCTCTCTCTCTCATTCTCTCTCTCTCAAATAAAATCTTCAAAAAAAAAAAAAAATCACCCAGCTCACAAAGTGATGTGACAAATGGTTTCACAGGTCAAACGAGCATCATCCTTTAAAGATAACAAACTATCAACAAAATGACCTTTGATGCTAACCTGAAAGGTATAAATAACTGTTGATGGAATTAGGTAAAGGCTGCCTGCCATTCAAAGTACAAAACCCAGACAAAGCTTCCAGCCGTGAGAAGGGACCACGTGTTGGGTGACAGTCTGGGAGGGTGGGAGTGGAGTGGAGAGGTATAGGAGGGAGAAGGGTATGGTGAACTTAGGGGGCCTCAGCAGATGGATGGCTAAAACAGTGCATGGGCATAGGTGAGGATGTGTCCAGGCAGAGGCTATAAAGGTAGGAGAGACTCTGCAACTGAGGCCTGAAAGGACTCCTCTGTAACATAAATAAAAAGTCCATGGGGGCGCCGGGGTGGCTCAGTTGTTAAGCATCTGCCTTCGGCTCAGGTCATGATCCCAGGGTCCTGGGATCGAGCCCCACATCGGGCTCCCTGCTCGGCGGGAAGCCTGCTTCTCCCTCTGCCACTCCCCCTGCTTGTGTGCTCTCTCTTTCTCTCTCTTGCTGTGTCTTTCTCTGTCAAATAAATAAATAAAATCTTCAAAAAAAAAAAATAGTCCGTGTTATCCTCTGGGCAATGGAAAGCCACTGCAGACTTTTATGAAAGAGGGGAACACAAGGTGTGTGCCTTAAATCTTTCTGGCAGCTCCGTGGAGACTGGGAATACACAACAGAGGGTCAGAAGGGGATGGGAGAGGTGGTGATTTGACTTGGGTCGGTGACAGTGGGAAAGAAGAGGAAAGAAATAATTCCAGTTATATTTAGGAAGTAGAAAAATCAGTTTAACTTAATTGACTGGTATAGAAGTTGAAGATAACCAAAACCTTTGGTTTGGTAAAGGAATGAATGCTATTATCATTAATGAAGACAGGAGAAGGTGACTTGAGATGACGATTATTATAACCAACACTTACTGAGTGCTTCTCTAAGTCCTTTAAAATACCAACTCATTTAGAGGCACCTGGGTGGCACAGCCGGTTAAACGACTCAGGTCATGAACTCAGGGTCGTGAGATGGAGACCCACATCAGGCTCCGTGCTCAGCAATGGAGTCTGCCTGGGATTCTCTCTCCCTCTCCCTCCCTCCTGCATCTTTAAAAATAAATAAAGTAACAACTTATTTAATCCTCATAACAATCCTATAAGGGCTCTAATTTTCAGATGAGAAGATTGATACACAGAAAGGCTAAATAACTTTTCCAAGGTCACTCAACCAGTCAACTGTAGAGCCAACATTTGAACCCACACTACTACAATGTTACAGTGTACTAGACACGATCAATTAAATGTCCCTTAGACATGTTGGACATCCAGGGAGTTATGTTTAACTGGCATTTGGAAAACAGAGCTAAGGTTCAAAAGAAAAATCAGTGTTAACAATATGGATTTTAGAATTGTGAACATAATTGATTTCCTGAGGCCATGGGAGAGATAGGATGACCACTGAGAATGAAGAGAGACCCAAGGACACTGGGAGGAGATTTTTTAAACAATAATCCACAGTCACCAAAGCACAGAGGTGCCAGGGTAAAGCCATCTGGACTTTCTCCTTCTTGTGAAAACAGGCGATCCATTCAATATTTGCCGAGTGATGAATCTAGCATTCCTAGCTAAGGGTTTCCTGCTCAGACAACAGCAAGGAGAAGAGAAACCCAACAGAGTATGAAATGGAGAAAACAAACTGATGCTCTCAGTTCTTGGAAGCATGATCTGTATTTGTGTTTGAGCAGAGTGGCTCCAGCCTCCAGAGAATCATCAGTGATGCAAACTTGTCTCTTGAGCAGTACTCTGATATCACTCTTCACCTCCCGACCCTCCAACCCCCACAGAACGCGCCACTGCCCAGAGGGCAGGCGCCCAGCCATACTGCAGCAACACCAGGAGCACAGAAGCAAGCAGGAAGACGTCCTCTTGCAAAGACGGTACAAATGAATTATGGCTTCTGCGAAAATCAGCTTTTGTTTTTAATGGGCTTTACGTGACTCATCCGCTATGAGGTATGCTCTGCCTTGAGCTCTAGCTATAAATCGACCAAGTGCAGAGGGCAGAAGAAAGGAAGGATGGCAAAAGATGAACAGGGATGTCAGGAAGCTTTAATCCTAAAAGGAGATAACAGAAGCAGAGGGAAGTGGTGAGCATTTCCTCTTTGAGCACTTGGGTGCTGAGAGTCTCGGGAGGGCGGAAACTGGAAGAGCGGGCGGAGGCAGCCTGGGTTCCGGGACCTGCTCACAGGCGCAGGTCTGGGTTGCTATGGTGCCATCCTGCTGGCCGCAAGGCTTCCTCAGCATTGGCTGCCACAGTTCCTGTCTTGTGGGCAGCAGTGGCAAGTAAAAAGAAAAAATCATGTTTTTGTATTCTAATGGCTGCTGGGTCACTGAACACTGTCTGCAAAGGACAAGGAGACAGTCCTAAGAGACAGAGATGGCAACCAAGATGGGGATAAACTCCCTTGGAATGTATTAAATCCAACCTGGACATTCTATGGATACGATACCCTCATGAATAAACATTCCTCCCCACACCTTTTTTTTTTTTCAAAACTTTTTTTTTTTAATAATCCAAGAATCTAGACAGAGAAAGTCAACTTTTAATTAAGGCTTTCTTCCATTGTGATTTCTGATCATCAGGGCTCTGGATTCACTCCTAGGAGAAAAACCTGAACTCGCAGCAAAGAAAACAAAACGAGGAATTGGTCAGCACCCCGGAGTGGAAATCAGGACACTGCCTCGACTCTGACACTAATCCGCTGCATGACCTGCGTGTCTGCATCCAAACTCCTTCTTCATCTAAGGACACACATAGAGGGAACACTAGAAGATGAGACACCAGAAGACTCGGCTGTCTGCAAGCCAAGGATCGGGGCTTGGAACAGATTCTTCCTCACAGTCCTCAGAAGGAACAGACCCTGCAACACCTGTCGGCTGTTGAGCTCACCCAGTTAGTAACGCTTTATCACAGCAGTCCTGGCAAACCAGCACAGATCCGGATGGAGAGAGAAGTGTATAAAGAACATCAGACCCCAGGAGACCCAACCCCCAGATCTTCCACTCCTGCGTGCTATCACTAAGCATCTATAAAATATAGGGACCTTTCCTTACATAATCACAATACTACAGCCAAACCTAACAAAATTAACAATTCTCTGGGGGCAGATTTAATTCATAGAAGAAATACACCTTATAGTAAAACACATACTTAGATACAGCTTTTCTCCATTAAAGCTATTAATATTAAAAACAAAATCCCAATAAGTTTGAATTTTTGTGAAATCCTCAGAGGATAAGCAAAACTCTTAGAGCAATTTAATTCCTTAATCAGCTCTCTTATTCAACATATCTGAAACTAATGATGTACTATAAGTTGGCTAATTGAATTTAAATTAAAAAAATCTTATGTTACTTTGTTAAAGTTAAGAAAGGAAAAATGCAGTCAGCATTCATACCCACTCGACGGTAACTGAAAAAGCAATTTTCAAACTACACCCCAGAAATTCAGCAGGTGTCTTAGAGTCTTTGGTTTAAAAAAACAAAAACAAAAACAAAGTTAACATGTGCAGTGGTATTTTATGTTAAATTGCATATATTCTAAGTTCATGAAAATTGGCATGGCAGAATTTGAAACCTCTACAAAAAAAATACATATATATTAACACAAAACCATACCTTGAGGGAGAGAGTATAAGTCGTTGGTTGTTTTTCTAAAACTTTAGAAACGTTGCTCCCAACACTTGAACAATTAGACAACGTCCAATCACATGTCCACTTCAAAAAGGTTACTTTTTGCCTATATAATACAAAAAGAAATGTTAAAGTCAGAATCGCCTGCTTATAAACGTTTTTCAAAAGAATCTTTTGAAGAGCAGTCCACTCCATCAATTTTCAAAATCAGGCATCTCTGTAAAAACCCACAATCCCGCTAATTAGTCTCAGCTGTTCGTCATATGGCCTGAAGACCAGTCAAGTGATTTTGCTCCTTTCAAGCTTACTACAACCCAATTCCCCTGGCCTCTCAGACAGAAGGCGGCTGTATTAACCTCTTCTGGTGTTAGAAGACTGGTATTCTCTTTTCCCCCAATCAAAAGAATAGAATATTTGTTTTCTTGAGAAAGAATCTTTAAAAGTATTGCATTCTCCAGGCCCTTAAAGGTTATAGCAATAGTGTTTCTTCACAAATGCAATGCCTGATCCCAACAAACAGCACAGGCGATCAAATTAAAGTGGCAGAAGGGCTGGGGCTAGATGACTTACCAGGTCTCTCCTGGCCTTCAGACCCAGAAAGAAAACTGTCTACTGGGAGGTCCACCCAGATTTCTTGCTGGCATTTCAAATTCAACATGTCCTGCCCTTGACTTACCTCCTTTGTTCTTCTTTCCAGACCCTGCTTCAGAACCCCTCTTCCTATGTCTTGAGTAACACAATCCCGACACCCAACCAGCCAGAAATCTGATGGTCCACTATGACTCCTCCCCCTCTTCCCCTCCCACTTCCAATGGGCCACCAAGTTCTAGGGATCTTTTCTCCTCCAAGTTTTTTTTTTTTTATTTCTCATCTGGAGGGCTATGATCATCCACTTACTTAGTTTTCTGGCCTCCAACCTGGCCTTGCTACTGATCCATCCTCCTCACCACACCAGAATGATCTTTCCAAACTGCAAATGGGTGTTCATCACTCTCCTCTGTAAAACCTGACTCCCCACAAACTCCATAATGAACTCCCTACTTCTTAGACTTCTGCCTTCAGTATCACCTACCATTCCCTGCCCGCTGACTCCAGCCACAAGAACTATTTATAATTCTCTAAAACCAGTGGTTTTCAAAATGTGAAATCAGTATCATCAGCATCACCCGGGACATGGTTAGAAATGCACAGTCTTGGGCCCACCCCAGGTGTACTGAATCAGGAATTGTCAGAATGGCCACAGGGTCTGTGTGTTAACAAGCCCACCAAGTGATTCTAATACACAATAAACTGAGAGCCCCTGCCCTAAACCCACCAAGCGAGGTTCATCAAATCATGTAGCCCTTTGGCTCCTTCTGCCAGTAATGCTAAGTTAGATGCCCCTTCTCTGTGCTTACTCTTTCCTAGAGCTGGTCAACCCTGTATGGTGACATCCAATTTATGTTGGTTGGTGAATATCTTGAAGACAGGAATTGTATCTTTGGCTCGTTCATCCCACAATCACTTGCTGAGCATATTCCAGTCACTGGGACAGAGGCTGGGCTTTAATTAATCTATCTTTTGCCTCTCAGGGAAACCACCCTCTAACTTTGGCAGCTTGATGTGTGACTGAAAAGTCAGCCTACCCAATCTATAAAATCCTATCACCAACCTCAAGAACCGTGGGCAGCTAAAAAAAAAAGCCTGAACATAACCAGTCTGAAATCTCTCATGGCAAATGACATGGAATTTTGGGTTCACATCTGATGTCGACTCAAATGGACAGACATGGTTTATGAAGGGAGAGAGGATGCATTTTCATGAACTTACATACTCCTCTATCTCACAGCAACCTCTAGAATTTGGAGAATAATTTAGTAAGGGAATATACCAAGATATTTAAATCCCAGATTAAAGTTCATTAAAATTCGCTTATCCTAATTACAGTAGGAGTTGAGGAAAGTACTTCATATTAGCACTTCTCAATCTTCAGCATGCTTAGGACTCTTCTAGGGATTTTGATAAAATGCTAATTCTGATTCAATAAGTTTGGATGGAGCCCACGTGATGCCTAGGTACTACAGGTGGTCCTAGTCCTAGAACTACACTTTGAGTAACAGGTAGAAGTAAAACTTGCATTTTTCATAGAACTAGTGGTCCTCCCATTAGAGTAACACAAACTTTTTTTGACCCCTCCACATTGAAAGCTTTCTAAAATGTCTTTCCAACTTTAGGATAAAGATGGCACACCAAACACACATCTTAGTTCTGCTACCTCCCCAAATCTCACTAATGTAACAGTAAAAAGAGGTTTTTGTTGTTGTTGTTGTTGTTGTTGTTTTAGGTATGAACTCACAAGGACAAAGAGAAAGTGAGTGGGAACAACAGTAACGAAATGCAGAAGATAGAAAGTAAATGGACAAGAGGTAACTGATGAGCAGACCTAGGAAAGATGACTCTTTACCTGCCACTAGGGACAGCCAAAAATCAACTCATCACAGCATCTGCAGAAAGGCTCAGGCATTCAGAGCCCCCAAACACTCGTGGAGGGGAGGGGAGGGTAAAGTCAAGGCTAAATTAGTGGAAGTCTGCTTCGGTCTCAATCCTCTAAATACTGAGATACCTCCACCCCCACGCACACGCTGGAACTTCCAGAACTCAGGCATTCTTCACAGGCAGGTAGTTCAAATGTTCTCTGGAGAATCCACCCAGCCCCGGAGGGAAGACCCAAAGAAGGAAACAACAAGCCCAGGACGTACTGATCTAACTAAAACTCTGACAAAACTTGAGAGTGAGGGATGGAAATGGTATACACGTGTGGTATGGTGGGTGGGGAAATGAAAATTAAAATTCTCTTCTTCCATGGTAAAGTGACTAGGCATAGGCATTTAACTAATGTTTAAAACTGAAAATCGACCATAGAAATATCCAGTATGTCATTTAGAGAAGGGATGTAACTACCAGCAAGAGTCACCTAATTATAAGAATTGAAAGCAGTTGTCTCTGCGGAGCAGGAAATGAGCTGGGGGAGGGGACTAATTGCTTTTTGTAACAGGGCTGTAGCACTATGTCCATGTAGAACCTTGATAAAATTTTAAAAATTAATTCCTACAAAATACAGTAGTACACCCTCCACCCCGTCCATGGTTTTTCTTCCTGATGCTTCACGTACAGGGGGTCAGTAGTGGTCCAGAAGCTCATGATCCCTGACGATTCATCAGAAGACTAATAGTTGCCTAAGGCTACATCACAAAGCTTACAACATCACGTCACTTCAACTCATCACATAGTTATTTTATCATCTCACATCATCACAAGAAGGATGAGAATAGCACAATAAGATATTTTGAGAGAGAGAGACACCATATTCACATAACTTTCATTCAGTATGTTGTTATAATTGTTCTATTATTATTGTTAATCTCTCACTGTACCTAATTTATAAATTAAACTTTATCATAGGTATGTATGTATAGGAAAAAACATAGTATATATAGGATTTAGTACTATCCACGGTTTCAGGCATCCACTGGGGACTTTGGAACACATTCCTTGTGGATAAGGGGGGTGGCTACTGTAAAATGTAATGTCCATGCTTTAATTTTTTTTTCTTGGATGATTCAGGACATCACAATAAACATCACTAACTTGTGCTACCTCCTCAGCATCTAGGACCTACAGTGAAGCAGGATGTTGAGGATCTGGGCTCCGGAGACTTTGAACCTCAGCTTTACCACTCACTGGCTGTGTGATCTTCAGCAAGTTACTTAACCTCTCTGTGCCCCAGTCCCCTCATCTGTGGAACAGGGATAATAGGATTATTTTGTAAGAATTGAATTATGAGATTCCTAGAAGTGCTTAAAGTAGTGTTCAGCACATAGTGTTCAATAAGGGCTATTTTTCTTAAGGGATGATTACCACTGTAATAAACACCTCCTGACTACTGTAATGACTCCATCTTTTATTCGTTCATACTTCATTCTCCTTGCTCCCACCTTCAGCCAGATGTCCCTCACCATGGTAATCAGTGCCTTTCTACAATAACCACTTCCCCTTCCAATGTTCAGTTTCTCATTGACAAGGCACCTGGAAACCAAATAATCAAGCTTGTTAGAACTGCATGTAAAATGGAGGAAAGGGGGTGCCGAGGAATGTTCTGAAAGTCTCCGTGAGGCAGATCAGCAACTTTCCATCTATGAACCATCTGTCTGACTACTCAGAACCCTTTGGGCTTACTTCTTACCTATCAACTGTGGGTCAGCGGGCTGGGTGACACTCAGGGTAACCAACCACCCCAGGTTACTTGGGACTGTCTTAGTTTTTAGCACTGACAGTCTTTTTTGTTTTTTAAGATTTTATCTGTTTATTTGAGAGAGAGAGAGACATAGAACACAAATGATGGGGGAAGGGGCAGAGGAAGAGGCAGACCCCCTGCTGAGCAGGGAACCCGATGTTGGGCTTGATCCAGGGACCCTGGGACCATGACCTGAGCAGAAGGCAGACGCTTAAAGACTGAGCCACCCAGGCGCCCCTAGAACTGACAGTCTTTCATCCCTGGAAACCTCACTCCCAGCCCTGCGAAAACTAATCCTCCTAAGCTTGTTTCATCATCTGTAAAATAAAGGATAATATCTACTTTGAAAGTCTGTTGAGGATTAAATGAGAGAATGTATATTTCCTGACCCATAGTAAGCACTCAAGTGGTAGCCCCAGCTACTGTACTAGTTACACACTGTTACGGTCAACTCTAATAGCAGTGGCCAAAGAAATTATTCTTAGATACTTACCCTGTAACTTGGTTATTTTCTTCCTGGCAAAAATAATTTGCCTTATGCACAGTGGATCTCAGGAGACTGAAATGTGTGCTTTTGTGAATTTCCTTCTGCCCCTGCCTTACACAATTTTATTTCAGGGACTAAGACATATTAAAGATATTTAATATTTCCACATTGCTGACTTCTCCACTGGGCAAAGGCCTGGGAGGTTCTCACCATCTTTTGACACATGCATCTTTTTTATGCTATGGGAGACCTGGGGTATTTGTCAGTAGCTGCTTCCAAACCTATGGACCAATCAGTATGCCACCTCACAAAGAAGGACATCAGGCAGCATACTGGACATTCTTTT